TCCCCCCCAAAAAAAAAAAAAAAAAAAAAAAAAAAAAAAAAAAAAAGTTATAAGATACAAGAGCTGTTTTTCCACATGATCAGACTTTTACTCTAAAGCCAAGATAATACAAACATCTTATAAAAATTCAAATCGTAGTATTTTAAGTGTAACTTTAAAGACATTAAAAACATCATTCCTACATATAATTTTAAATTCTCAAAAAGTTGTAGTTTACTACAAAAAGATAAGATAGTATTTTATGTAACAAGCTTTACTGTTTGGTAGTTGTGCTTTTAATAATTTTCCAGGGTTTTAAAATTGTTCATTATCAAAAAAAGCCCAAAATATACTAATGGAATTGAGGAGGACATTTGAATCTTTGCTTTCGGTAACCGCTTAAATATTTTAGATCTATTGGATTTAAAGTAAATACTTTAAGTAAATTCAGTAGAGAATTTATTTAGTAAAGAATATTTACTATCATTTGTGAAAATAAGGATCATATTGATGAAAATAAAAATTTCTCTCAATTTCAAGTAAACATTTACTGTGTAGCACTTGTCAGGCGCTGTGGTAGGTGCTTTGATAAGATTCTCTACCTTCAATTTCCTAAGTAAAAGCACCCAAAGTGTTAAATCTAAAACTTTCCAGGTAAACACTTTGTTCTTGAAATGTCAGGTATGGCCAATCATATTACATGTATATATTTTTGCAGGGATGTTAACTTGTCAAAATAGATGGTAGGCATCATTCTTGAAATAAAAACAAACATTATAGGAATACTGTTCATTTAATTAATGTACACCACCTGTCTAAATACCTACAGCAAGCAATCTGTATAACTCAATGTTAAAAAGATCCAGTTGAAATATACCTTCTCCACCCCCCCTTTTTTTTTAGTATAACTTCTCTAATTCTGATCAGTGTGAGAACTATTTTTTCCCCACAGCTGAAGGGGTCACTCTAAATACAAAACTAGCTCAAGTCTCTAAACACCAGAATTCCTCAAACAGCTGTTAATTGTGGACCGTGGGACTAGCTGAAATCTGCTTCTTGCTTATTTTGTTAATAGTTCACTTCCAGGTCCTAAAAGGATCGTAGGCTTTTTCCAAAGATAATGTCGGAGGCATTTATGTCTGCCTTCTACATAGTTGGCTTGTTCTGGTTTTTCACTCTCCATACAATGCAAATCTGAGTGAACTCACATCTGTCACCGATCGACCCAATTCGTGAGCAATCTTTTCCCATCGACCTGGGGTCCCTCCTGGGAACTTAACCATACTTCTTGTCAGCTGGCTGAGGTCCTCTTCTGTCCATTCAGGTGCCTGCAAAACATTAAAGAAAAAAAAGATAATTTAAAGAATGTTTGCTAATACATTTAAGAAACCTGTGCAACAAACTACTGGCAATATGTTTTCTGCAAAAACAGTAATATTACGATGTATCTAATAGTTCAGATAGAGAGGCCTGAGTTGCATATTTAACAGATGCAAAGCTCTAGGCAGCCTTTTAAATTTTCCTATGTACACCAAATAAAAAAGCAGAAATACTGTGAAGTCAGGCTTTTGAAGACATTTGTAAAAAAAAAATGGAAGTCAGTTTTGCATTAGAGTGAGAAAGCATCCACAAAGCCCACGAAATGCATTGTGTATCACTGCTACTTACAAATGCCTCATAAATGGGGACTATAAAAGGTTTTCAAGTTTTAATAAAAAGTATAAGGTTTTTTTTTTCTTTCTTTAAGTATAAGCATAAATGAAATGTCAACAAGTAAATGTAGAGATCAAGAATCAAAACAGACAAAGATCTATATTTTGTTCATTCTAAGTAACAATATTCTAAATATCATGTATTTTCAAAAAGTTTAACTTATCAAATGCAAAATTTGGGAACAGAAATAAAATTAGAAATTCATGTGACCAAGACTTAAACCATCAAGTCCATGCAAAGCAACATTTCATTTTTGAGAAGGCAAATAGCTCCTCAAAGTTGATCAAATTTTTAATTTGAATAATAAAATACCTGAAATATTATGGAATCTTTTTTACAAAAGCAAACATTCTAAGACCAAGCACATTCTCTTCATTTTCAGCACTACCACCTGGTCAAACCCAAAGCTGAGCAAAGCAAAAGAAACTATTATCAAATAACAAACAAACATGTTGTAATTATTTTACATTACATTTCAGCATTAAACTATTGCCTTCCAGAGGCAGTAACCACTCTGGTATTAAACAATACTCTAGGAGTCAGCAGAGAGATGGAGGAAGCCCACCTTATTTTCCTTTAATTAAAAAGAAAGAAAAAAAGAAAGCAGGAACCCTTTGAGACAAATACCTTTTCTAATCACCATTTCCGATAATGAACAAGCATACGTCAGGCCGTCTGCATTACAGAACCATCAGCATAGAACAGTCAGAGGTGAGTGACCCCAGGGACTATCTCCACAGCTATAGCAAAGCTTCTCCCTGACACTAATCCTCCCTGTCATTCTCCCACTGTGTTCTAACCACACTGACATCCGCCTGCCTCACTGCAAGCTTAACGGGGCCCTTCCTGACTTTTTACTGTCTCCCCCAATCAATGGTTCAAGCGTGCTCTTTTCACCAAGTCCAAATGGCAGCTTCACTCATAATCAAAGTGCACTGCCCCTGTTAAAGGGCTTTCCCAAAGGCTCTCCCATTTGCATTCATTTGCAAAGCAAACTACTTTTATTCACTTTGTTCTGCTATCAAGAATGTTCCCTGAAGCAGATAAATTGGCATAAATACAACCTGCCACTTAAGAGTCAGTAAATAATAGCCAATAGTGGGGAGGATTTTATCAATCATTCTATTTTGTATCCACTAAAAGCTGAAAGCCTCGAACATATTCATCAGTACAACCCTTACGATCCATGCATAAATTCACATAAAAAGGTAGCCTACATTGGGTATGGTTGAAAATTCTTTGGTATTTAATGACTATCAGAAATCTAATTCTCCATATCAGGTAATTAAAATTTCACACTGAAAGTTTATTATTTTCTTTCTTTTTGCTTGTTTTTACTTTGTTTAGGGGAAAAAGTATTCTTCAGATATCATTCAGAGGGACATAACTGGATTTTCAAGGAAAGCATATTTTTATTGCTAAAAAGTTGAAACTTTAATACCTATACTAGTTGGTCTCAGAAATGCTAGAGAGTTAAGAATTTAAATATAAGCTTATAGTACAAAGTCATACCAAAAAGAGCATTAAGTTGATACTGCACAAAGTATTCAAACTATACAGTAGTATATCAACGTAATTTCACACTAAATTAAATCATCTTATTTGTGCATTAATTATACCAAATATTTTTGGAGCAAACAAAATTGTCTAAAATGTCAGTAATATATAGGCATTATTTTACATAGTAAGCTAATTTGTTAAAATAATTTCTACTTTTAAGAGAATGGTTTTCCAAATATGCTGCATATATGAGCAATGGGCTCTAAAACTCAGTCTGATTTTAATTCCTTGTTAATAAAATGAGTCTAAAAGTATAGTGCCACTTTTTCTGGGAAGGAAAAATTTTAAATCAAATATTTGGACTGGTATCCTGAAAAATCATCGACTGCTAGGACAATCTTTCTTTTTAGTTTCATAGTTATTTCATGGCCATGATTTATATTACTAATATTAAAAGAAAGAGATCAATAATAATTAGGACCATAATCTGCAACCTTTGAGAGAATCCTTTTAGCAAGTCATTATTCCCTCTACTACAGCTGTAAGGCACTGCAGTGAATGTGCAATTCCTCGGCAATAGTTAGTTGTGTCTTTAGAAGCAACAGAGCCTACTGTGATCCAGCCACTAGGGCAGCTATGAGGGTGGCCATGGTGTGAATGTATTCTCCTTGTTCTAATCTGGAGCCAACTGTAGCTGTGAAAGTCAAATGAATGCATAAGCATACTGCTTTGCCACGTAAAACCATGTGTGTCCATTATTACCGAGACACTGGGCCAAAAATTCATCTCTGTAGTTAAGTAATGGAAGATACCACATGGTGTGGGGACAGCTGTTGTGACTATACAAGCATTCCAATTTTGCATCAGAAAAGCCCCACTCTGGGAATAAATTTCCATACTCAATACAAAATAAAAAGTAAGTTTTCAAATTACTCAATATTTTTATGTAATGACCCAAAAGTAAGAGCTGATATGAAACTTTAAATTATATTCCCAAATAATGTCCCTTTGGTATAAATTTTCGTTAGAAAACCAGCTATGTCAGAGATTTGGTGCCCTTGAAAATCCTTACTATTTGGGGGTATAGGAGTTGGAGGCTGTAGCAAAAAGCACATTTTATTTTTAAAGTAATCTATACACACTTTCCCTCTCACAGCTTTAGACTATAAAATGTTAATTAAAAAGGTCATGCAATTTATTTGGCACTGAAAATTTACCGCCAAATTAAAAGAAAAAAATTTAAATGTAATTATTTATTTTCATACTTGAATGACAAAAGGTCCATATCTATCTAATAAGTAGTAGATACCGAAACTCCCTAATGAATAATATTTCTATTGAAATAATCTGTTAATAATCATTATTTATATAATTAAGTTATAATTTTGGGCCCAGTAATTTTTAATATATTCAGCTCAACTCATAAAGTCTATGGATGAAAAAGGGGCCACATACTAAACCTGACAAGCTGAGGGGAGGCCTAATGGCGGCCTTACAAACTCAAGACCTAAAGTAAGCATATAGAATGGTCTGATATTAAAACTTTTCAACTAAAAGCAGTTCATGGTGGGTAGGCATGTCCTAGGCTGGTATTTTTCCCTAACAAAGGTCAACCTTTACCGTAACTGAGCCGTATGTTGTCTTTTTTTGCATCAATGATAACATACCTGGTAACAGTAACTTTGGAATGTCAAAGTAATTTCCTTTTTTTCTGGACCCCTCAAAGCACAACCACCAAGAGCAGAGACCACATATGCCCTCATTGTTGTTGTTATGCTGATTGTTGACTGTTAACTATACTATACCCGCAAATGTAAAAGTATGTATCTATTTGATTTACCTTTTATCCAGTCCCAGAGATATCACCCCCACCCTGCCTTTGCTTTCAATGTATAAAATAAGGTGCAAAACTGCCACTCTCTGGAGCATTTTCTTAATCTGCTGAGATTTTGCTTCCCGGCAACTGTCAGTTTGGCTCGAATAAACTCATAAAAATTCTTACAGGTTTGGATGTTTCTTACAATGACATATCTCAGAAATGTTACCTAAGAAATAATATCCCTTACATAGCATCAACCAGTTAAAATATCAGATGTATATCCAATAATCTGGTTGATATACCTAGTAATTGAATAATCTGCTATCCTCTAATTCTATGTTCTATATTGACTTTGTGTTTTAGAATGTCTATTTGGCTTTTACCTACACGTTTTCCTTTCCAATTTCACTATATATGTGGATAAATGGTATATAAAAAAGAAGCAAACAAGAGAATTAAAAACAAACCATTTTAAATGTCTTTTCACTCTTAGGAAGAGAAACTCTTATTTGAAGAAAGCTTGCAACTCATCTCAAACAATTGTTCTAATGTCGTGATCCTTTAGCAGCAATCAGTATTTCATGCTGTGTCCACAAGGTCTCTTCATCTATGTTTTAGCTGCCTTGCCAAAAAAGTGGGCCCATTTGGACCAGTTATCGTAAAGTGTGTTCTTTGGGTTGGCACTGTTACAGTTGTAACTAGCTAGTTATTAATAATAGGAAGAAAGCAAAGGGGAGGCCAGACATAAGCATGGTCATCTGGGCAGCTTCACAAGGAAGCTGCAACTTCACCCTTCCCAGGGAACCCCTGGTTCATACCCTGCAGATCACTGGGAGAAGGGGGTCCAACAGAGGGGGAGATGGGCGCATGCAAGTGAAGTCAGGATGATGTAGGAAGCAGTGCGCTTGTCAGTCTAGCCTGGGGAACCATGGATTGGCTAAAGGGACGGCGCCACTGCAAGGGTGTGAAATTCTGAAAGAGTCATTGGTTAAGCTCCTAGTTAAAATCCCCAAGGAAACTGTTGCTCTCTTGTTCCCCCCCTTGCCTCACTCCTGCTTCCTTGCTCTTGCTTGCTCTGTGACCTGTGCCGTCCCACCATGTAGCTCTAGAGGTCGCATGGCCAACCCCGCACGCAACGGACTGCAGCTGGGAACACAAGCTAAGCCAGCCAGATGCTGGACTGGACTGTGCTTTAATACGGAGCAAAGACTCTGGGTAGTGGCTTTAATCCTGACCCTGCTGAAGACAAAATAGGACATTTTCCATGGTGGGACTGAGTGAGATGGCATCTTGAAG